TGACCGTCATCGCGTAGCGGTACGCGATTCCTGCATTTTTCATACAGAAACAGTCCCAAATCCCCAAATTTTCATTCCATGACAGTCCCAACACCCAAAAATTGATATATGCACAACATATACATTATTTATATCACATCAAAATCAGCACAAATTCAACATATACATGCATCAATCATCATGGATTTCAAGTATTACTCAATAAAATCTTATAGGGGTTTAAAGGAACTCCACTAACCCATTGCTAAAACACGAAACATATAACAATGTCTTCTCTCCTTGCCTTGATTATGCAAAAATTCTTGAGTTCTTTGTGATAGGAGACCCTACTCTTTGCACAACTTTATCTTAGGGTTGTCTCTTTTCCTTTTTCTCCCTTAAAGACACGTGTTTCTGTTTTTCCTTTTCTCCCTTTCTCATTCTCCTCTTTTTATAATGACGAGTTCTATTTTATTTATTTTATTCAAATTAACTCCCTTATTTTCTATTAATTTTCCACTAACGCCTTAATTTCTTAAATAATTATAAGCCTTCATAATCCTATTATTTTTAATATTTTTTTACTAACAACTCAATATCTATATTAACATTTCTCTAAATAATAACACATAATAACCATGAAAGACACCAAAATCGAATAAAATTAAAAATACAAATGTTGGGGTGTTACAATGTAGCAAATCTTTTCTCTAACTTGTATATACATATAGAGAACACTGTGACGAATAAAGATAATTATAATTGTTCAATCGAATTGTTATGATATGAACGAAGTGTTTTTCATAGTATGTTTGGACAAGTTAAGGTATTTTTATTTGGATTAAATATTTCTGGGTGTATGCTAGAACTAGGTATCAGACATGGAATAAGACATTATATAGGATGGAAAAAAATGAAAAAAGAAGAAAATATTCTATGGATTTGTTCATGTAATTGGTACCATAAAGAAAGAAACATACAGAAACGAAAATGTATTTCTTTGATCAGTTAAATAATAAATAAGAGGTATTTATATAGTACAAATGATAAAAAATAACGAGTACTAATCTAAGTTGAAAATCAAGATAAATATTATTGTTGTTATGGTAGTTATTATCCATATATAATACGGTAAATATATAATTACTATTTACATCCAACCGTAATGGGTTGTATAAACTAGAAATTGTTGTATAAAACAAAATCAATTAATTTTGTGATGATCTTAGTCAATAACTTCCAACAATAATCAAGGTCTCCTTACATGTCTGGATATATTGATGTATATATAAAGAAAATTTTTATAATCAAGTTGAATCCATATACCAAGGTGTATAGAACAAAGATCTTACTAACAAAGATGATTATGTAGTTGTCTTTTTTATTTTTTAATCCCTAGTAACAGTTTCCTAAAAATGTGATCGTATGTAGAAATTTTTTGACTTGTGTAAGACTGCATATGGACTTTGAGGTCCATAGATGTATTTTTTGGTACTGCTTAAAGGTCCTCTTATGAACCCTTATTATATGAGGCCGATATCCTTAGGAATATGTGTATATCTCTTATCTTCCACTACTTATAGTGCATTTCATTTAAGGACTTGTGGAATTCTTTCGAGGTTCAGGTTCCCTAGAACTCACTCTGCATTTCATCTAAGGACTTGTGCAATTCTAGTGACTTTGTTCTTCATGCAATAACTTTGAGGATAACTTAACTTCTAGATAATGCCAAACTATTGGAATCTTGAGGTGTAAGTAAATTTTACTCTCCTTTATGGTGGTGTCATTATATATGAACAAAAATGGTTAATCACTGAAGTTTATGATGTAATCTCCACGTCAATGGATGTGATCTTCAAGTTTTTTTTCATGTAATCCTTCTCCAAATGAAATGGGTGTGTACCTACAAGTATACTTTTATGCCAAAGTTAGAGAGTGCATAAGTAGATAGTGAATGAGTGAGATGATGGTTAAATTATCCTATCTAGGGAGTGAACCCCTATTTATAAAGTGGTTGGACTCATATACACCCAAAGTTAGTTGTTATATTTACTGAGTTGATAAATGAGATCATATCAGGATATGTATAGTGCGTAAACACAACTAAATATCGAGATAGGGTGCAAGACTCATCTGATATGAATAGACTTCATAACATCCAAATTAATGGAAACACACATGTATCTCAAAACCCTTATTTTTGAATAAGTTTATAGTATGAGACATTGTTATGAGTCATTCTCACTATGCGTCGCCGCTTATACTAAGATCACCATACATATGTCTGACCTTCTTTAAGTTGAATTGAGTAATATGACTTGTTTAGTCCTTTTAATACGAATTTTTGAGCATTTGAATCAAACATATTGTTGGAAAAAATCCAAGTCCAACATTGGTTAAAGATAGTGCTCATAAAGAGTTTATATAGAGTGATACCCCTCACATTACAAGCTGATTTTGTAGGGATAAGTTAAGTCAAACTTTAATTCTATTATGGTATCACGAGAAGGGACGGAGCCAGAAAATTTAACTAGTGGGGCATATTTACATATAAATTTATGATTATTTTAATTTTTTTTATTTTAAAATTAAGAAAATAAAATAAATGTTTGACATAATTTATTAATTAGAATATTTTATTTTATATTTAAAAATAGTAAATAAAAATATGTAAAATTTAGGTGCAAAATAGTGTACACGTATGCTTTAAAAAATAAATTAGGTAAAAGAAAAATAAAAAAAAATAACATATATGTTATTAATGATATGTTTTTTTTATAAATATTAAATAAATAAAAACACCAAAAGAGAGTGGATATGTAAGTGACTTTAATGATTATATGTTATATTATTATACTCATATATATTAACACTACAAATACAAGATACTACATAGAAGGCAAAATGAAGTGAGGGCATATGCCTACATTGTTATCAATGTGGCTCCGTCCCCGCACGAGCCTATCGATTTAGGTCATCCACTATTTATACATTATGCATCAAGTCCAAAAAATGTCGGGCGCAGAGGGTGTATTGGAAAAATCAAGTCCTACATATCGATAATGCAGGTCACCCGCCATTTATATCCATGCACCAAGTCTAATAGTGTTGCGCGAAGGAGTATATTAGGAAAAACCCTAGTCACACATTGCTTAAAGATAGTGCCCACAAAGAATTTATATAGAGTAACCCCCTCACCTTACAAACTAATTTTGTAAGAATAAATTACGTCAAAGTCTAATTTTACCACACATACTACATTCATCCCTAATATAAGACCTTAAGTTTTTATTTTGTCCCTTTTTATAAATTCCTCTTCAAATTTCAAAATACATTACTTATTTTTTTTACTCATGTACCCCTTATAAAATTGCATCTTTTTCTACTATTAGCATTAAATTATACAAACATTCACTATCCAAAGGATAAATTTACAAAATTATATAAATAATTAACAAATTTATTATTTCTATCAACTTTCTTAATTCCCGTAGTTTCTCCTAAGGAGTCTTATATTTGAGTTGAGCTTTTTATGTCAACTAATTATGAATAATTTATATATAATTTTTAAAGTTATTAAAATTAATATTTTTATTGATGTGAAAATTTATAACTAATTGATAATGTACAAAATCTAGACACCATTACCTAATGTATTAAAATTTATCTATTGGGAAAACTACATTAGTTCCATATGTGTTTCTTTCATACACTTTTATTAAGGGATCAGCATTTTTATTGCGCCAATTGCATGTGGTGATCATGGGAAAAACAGAGTACAATTGAACATGTTATTGCCGACATCGATATATGGCTGAATCAGCGTTTCACTTTCATGTGGATGGATTCACAACATGTCAATTTATCCCATTGGGACCAGACCAAGCTTATGTATGAACTATAATGGGTAGATTAATAGATATTGTCATACCTATTCTTATCCTATGTGTGTTGTGAATATCTATTAATCTGCCCATTCGCGTGTGTTTAAATTTGCTCCCGCACCGGCTCATTGTCTTGTCTAGTCGTCCTCACCCATCTGAATGGTTCTGATTAGGGGTGACAAACAAACATGTCTGTCTCGCAAAAAAAATCATAAGAAAATGGGGCGGAATAAACATTGTAAAGGTTAAGCCTAAATTTTTGCCCGTCCCACAAAAAAATAAAGGTGACGTGAGGCAGTCTCGCGAGCACAACACATTTTTAACTTAAAAATTACAAAAATTTATGTTAATGCATATACAGCAAAATCCCACAAAAAACGGATGTAGACGGGACAAGCATATTAAAGGGTGCAGGTCAAAAATCTTGATCTGTTCTACAAAAAATGTACAGGTAAAACAGATATATTTGGTGGAATAAATTCGTTTTGCCATCTCTAATTCTAGTATGTATCGATATGTATGTCGTTACATAATACAAATAAAAGAAAAATTTTAAATTGCTTTATAAATATAAATTGATTTTATAATAAACTAAAATCACTTTTGGAACCTATGTGGTTTAGTTCTATTGAAATAGGTCCCAAAAACATGGACAAAACTTGTGGGGCTTGAATTTCTAACATGAGGTTGTAAGAGTGCTAGCTTTTATTTTCCCCAATAATCCAATGCAACCCAATTGAACCTTTGTATAGCTCAAGACATAATCAATTTACAAAGTATATGGTTCTAAAATTTTCCAATTAAATTCTTTCAAACTGTTATAAACTGCACAATAGTAGTAGTATAGAGTCAAGAATAGAATAGATCCATAAAATGATTGAGGGTATGACTAACTAGCATGTGACCTTAGACTTAAAATAAATATTCTACAATTATATAGCCATTTTACACCACTATAAATTCAGTATTCTCATGAATACTTTAATAGTAAACCAGAAAATTTGAATCTCCTTGCCAAAAAAAGTGCAAGGAAATTACAAAAATGAAAAATATAAAAACAATTCAGGAATCATTTGAATATTCCCTCACCTTTTTATACCAAAAAAAAAATTATAGAATTTTCCATGCTTCCTATCCTCAAAGCTCCCAAGCAAAGATCAAGTATGTAACTACTATCCATACAAGAAAATTGAAAGACAATACCTGCATATAATATAATAAGTAGATTAAATCATTAGATACAAAAATTAATCTGAGATTGAGCTACTGTGACACTGACACAGGTTGAACACCAGCTTTTGTTCAGACGTGTCGGTGCTCTAGAGGGATCGGTGCATAAAAATTAATGAGAATTTTTCTTACATTAGATTTGGATGGCAGAGCCATTTGTGGAAGATAACCTTGCAATCCAATGTTATAAACTGGGCTACCATTTGGATAATAAAGACCATAGTTTCTTTCAGAAGCAGGACCATTTTTCAAATCTTCATTAAAAAGTGCAAAAACATATACATTAATTGGAACCAAAGGCTTTCCAGGAGTTCCTTGTTTTTCTTCAATTCTTCTAAGCAAATTTCCATTATACAGTTTTGCATTTTGTATTGTAGCTCCAATTTCACCAGAATCACCATTAGAAGGCCAACCTGTCTCAGAAACCCTAACTTCAATATTTGTAAACCCTAGCACTTTGATTGCAGCATAAACAGCATCAATCTGTGCATACAACATGTTATCATAATGTAAATTTGTGTTTGGATCAACCAAACCTTGATTTGGTTGAAAAAGTGCATAGTTTAAAGGTACCTCATTAGGGTTATCTTTGTATGCAAAAAAAGGGTAAGCATTAATAAGAAAAGGTGATTTCATTTCATCAAGAAACTCAACTAGTGGTTGAATATATTGAATCAAATCTTGCTTAAAAGAACCTGATGAAGGAGGGTAAGAATTTTCCAAATTGTTGAAAGAAAAAGCGGTCGCGACACTGATTAATCGGTCTAACCCGAGATTAACTAGAGCGGTATAGACATTTCGCATCGAAGGTAAAAGATTTAACATCATTTGAGTATTGTTGCTATTGAGAACTTCATTTCCAACATTTATGCAAGTTATTTTGGTTTGTGAAAGGTAAGGTAGAACATGGTGTTGAATCCAATTTTGAGCTTTGGAAGGGTTAGTCATGTTTTGAAGATTCTCATTTCCAAGTCCTATAACAAATTCAACATTTGAATGAGAGAAAGCAAGTAGAACATTTGGATCAGCATCATAGAGTTTGATCTTTGTGACATTCATTGATCTTATGAGAACAGCTACTCTAGAAGGAGATGGTAGATTGTTTGCTATTTGTCCATAGTTTATTCCAAAACTTAGGCAATTGATTTGCATAAATGAATCTGAAATCATATAGTTAGAAATATCAGAGAGTTTATTCTATGAAAAAATAGTGTGAACAGAATAAGACTAGTTAGAGATAATAGTAGTAACATTTATAAGGTTGGAATTAAAGGGAAATGATATAAGATAAAGTACCTGAAATGGTGAGGAGAAAGAAAAGAAGTGATTTGAAGAAGGAAAAGCTTGTCATTATTATTGATCTGATCTTGATTATAATAGGAAACAATTTCTAAGCACAGAAAGTGAGGTGATGCAAGGTTGAATTAATAACGTGTGAACGTGGCATTATATATATATATATATATATATATATATATATATATATATATATATATATATATATATATATATATATATATATATATATATATATATATATATATATTGGATAACTTTAGGGGAGGGGCAGAGCAACTCTGTTTTCAAGACTAGTTTTGACAGTTTGCTATATCATTTTGATTACAACATTCTTATAATGATAAGAGTCATACTAACTTATACTTGTTAAAGATTTTAAAAATAATTATTATATTAAAAAAATTAATACTAATATGTGTCCTAATAGGCAATGGCAATATATGTTAAAGATCTCTAAGTATAAGTCATTTAAAAGTTTAAATATTATTATTTCTTAATACACATTTTTTACTTTTAAATTTTTTAATATTTATTTTTAGGACTCAAATTAGCAAGATCTTAAAAAACGATGTATCATTTATATTATAAAATTTAAGTTTAAATGTATTTTGGTCCTTCTATATATCCTTCCATTTAAAAAATCATTTTTTATCCATAAATATATTTCCCTTATGATTTTTATAGTTCTCTTTCATTCCACCATCTCATTAATGAGATGGCACATGAGCTATACATCTATATCATATTTAATTAATATTTTATTTTACAGTAATTAATTTTAGTATTAAAAAATAATTTTAATTTAAATAATTGTTTTAATTGAATTTTTGTTATTGTCTTTATTGTAGCGGAGAAATTTGTGAGTGTAAACTATTGATTAACTTAATTCAAAAATGCAAGAGTCATTACCACACTTTTATTTTATCCAAAAAAAAAATAGCGAACAAAACCTAAAGAGTTCTAAAATAAGAACAAATAAACAGAGATATGGGTAAGAGGGTTAGTTACACAATGGGAAGATGTTAGCACCCAAAACGTCTATAGTACTCTATAGGAGCCCTTTGAAATATCTACACTTTTTGGTTTGAAAAGTTTATTTGAAAGGAGATTGGGAAATTGAGAAGAGAATTATTTTTTTAAAGAATTTTGTGTTTGGAGAAACTTATCGCCTCATGCCTACTTACCCACAAAGTGCAATATAGGATCAAAATCTCGTAGTTCGTGGTACAAATAACAAAAATTTATTGGTTATGATTGATTTTTAAATGTAAAGACAAGTCGTCATTTTAAGGAGAAAACTACGACTAGTCGCCCATAAGTATAAGACAACATTTGCATCACCTAAAGATAGAGAATTTTGCTTGGATTAAAATCAACAAGTCTATCACTCAACATCTAAGTGGAAAATGTCAGCATCTTAAATACTATGGGGAATAGGAGAATTACATCTCAACTATGGAAATGACTTATGTCTAAACTTTATGAAAAGATTTAAAAGAAAAAGTGCACAAAGGAACAAAAAGTTTGAATGGGTTTTTGTATTTTTTTATGTCTTTCTGAAATTGGTAGTATGATTAGCATTGATTGACATTTATTAAAGAAAACAAAGTTTGAAAATCATTTGGCCAAAGGTCAAAGTTTTATTATGAAAGCGGTTTTAAGTTTGAAAACAAGAGGATTTTTTGAAAAAGGGATGAGATTTTGAAAATTTAAGAAGGGGAAGAGATTAAGTGACTACCCTAGAAAGCAAAATAAAAGCTAGAGATAAGAAGAATCTAACCAAATTGTAGCACACTCCATAGCAAGCCAAATAATAATTACATTCATCTTGAAGCATAAGCAAATGAGCAAGTCAAATAAAGACAAAGATCCATAATATTCCAAGCATAGGGAAAGAGACCTAATTTTAAGTCCAAGGGTCCAAGAATAGTCCAAGAGGTCCAAGGTCTAAGAATAGTCCAAGAGCAATAACCACAAAGCTAAGAGCACCAAGTTTCTTAGAGGTTTAATCCTTTATTAATGTTTTAAACAAGATATGATTAGTAAACATAAACATAAACAAATATCAAACAAACAAGAAAATAAAGGTGCCTGGTGATCTCTCTCAAGAACAAACCTGCAAAGGAAGGCAAGAGAACCAAAGCTTAAGATCTTGTTTGTGGAATGAGATGCAAATGATATGTGGGATCTTAGGGGTAAAAATTAGGGTATTACATTTATTAATGGAAACCCAACTTCATCTTGCACACATTTGCCTTAGTCGTCTTTGTCTTCCGCATGAATTATGTTTCCTATAATCAATCCTCCATTTTTGTTTCCTTCCCAAGTCATCTTCCTCCCTTAAAATGTCTCAGAAATCAGTTTCAAAAAGTAGCTATAGAAGTCACTCATTGAGGTACGAATGTCATTGTGGTATAAATGCTCCATTGATGACAACATGGACTGATGAAAACCCAAGATGTCGTCATGACGGGTGGCTTACTTTCAGCTCTCTGATTGATCGGTTTTTGATCATTGGTTCGATTATTCAAACTATTTCCAATTCCAAAGACTGTTTGTTGTTGTTTGTTGAGTTTGGTGAGTAAAGTTGTTATGTTTTAAGAATTGTTCAATTTTGCTTTGTTGAGATATGAGTAAGTTGTTGTTGAATGCTTGTATGATTACGTATTGGTGAGTCATAATTACATATCATGTTTATTATGTTGAGATGGTAGCCTTATTGGCGATGTATGTGGTTCGAAGGAGAATCGGTGATGATTATCACATTTGTGTGTGTTGTTGCCTTTCATGCATCATGGTGTACAGACTTCAGTCTGGTGTTGTGTCGATGGTTTAGAAAGAGGGCTAGTGAGAAGTCGTTGATGAATAAGGGGGATCAGTTAGGAGTCCTGATTCAGAAGAGAGGGGTAAATGAAGTTTATGGTTCGAAGGGAGACCATCGGTGAGTGGACAAAATCAATAATATACCTCTTATGTCCCTAGAGATAGTAGAGGAGAACCCTAGAGCTAGCAGAGAAGAGGAAAACCATTTGAGAAGAGTTTGTTTGCTGGAAACCTAAGGTAAGAGGGGGAGAAAGGGTTTTCACTATCGGTGTGTTACATGATAGGGTAGAAAAGAGGGGTATTTACTCTCATTAGGGATTGTGTATATTCTATTATAATTGGTTAATGTTGTGAGATAATGTGAAAATTGATTATTGATTGTGTTGTTATGTGATTTTTGTGACCGAATTCGTGGGTTTGTGGTTTTATTTATGAGTATGTGATCCTATGTCATTGTTGGAATTTTGAAGCTTTGAGCAAGAACATAGTTTAATGAAAGTGACGAATGAATTATGTGCCTAATTGTATGATTCATGATATTAATTTATGGTAAATTAATGTGTTTAATATGATATAACTATTGTGTGTCGAATTTTGAGTGTTTAACTTTTTACATAATCAAAATTGGAGGTTTGGAAGACCTCCAATGGTTTTGCATTCTGCAGTGATTCTGCATTCTGCTGCGAGCTGACGGTTTTCAGTTTCATGACGATACACTGGTCATGACCAGACTGATTTGGTTCAATACAATTTTGATTATAAGTCAAGTTTCGGGACTTAGATTGAGGCGCGATTCCAAGCGTTAGAAAGATAACGCACAAAGCTACATTATGGTAGTGTCTTGTGAGATTAATTTGCATGTTTGAATGATGTGTATATGTCATGAAATGGGTGTAGAATTGTGTGACTTGTTGTATTTACTTAATGATGGATTGATATTATATTAATTTAATATGATTGAATGTCGTATGGATATGCATTTGATGATGTGTTGTTGTTTGGTGTTGTTGTTAATTGTCATAACATTGATTAATTGTTACATATTGAGAATGATGTTGTGCATAATGGTGATAAATACATGGTGACTATTTTAGTGATTATTTTGGTGATAATGCATGTTGTTGAGAGTCGTGTATTATGGTGTACAGATTTCAGTCTAGTTTCTGTATGCTTTGGTCTGTTGGTATAGATTCAAGAGCTAGTAGCTAATTTCAATGAGAAATTAGTGAAGAATTACTTATGGTGATAGTAACGATTTGGTGTGCTCTGGTCCTATAGTGGGGATTCAGGAGCGAGTAGTTGTATTATGTAAAGAGGAATCAGTGAAGTGTTGTTGATTCTATGGTGATGAATCAATAACAATTTTGGTGTGCTTTGATCCTATGGTCGGATTTCAGGAGTGAGTTGTTGTATTCCGTAAAGAGGAATCAGTGAATCGTTGTTGACTATATGATGATGAATCAATAACGATTTTGGTGTGCTCTAGTCATATGGTGGGGATTCAGGAGCAATATGGACATGTCTTGTCCATGAATGATACCACAACATAATGAATTAGTTGTGGAGTACATTGCATACATGTTTGCATATGTAATTGGTTGTTCTTGATGTTGTTGATTGGTTGAGAATACTTGACATAGTTAACGAGTTGTTGTGAGACATTGGTGATGTTGATTTGTGTATTAAATGTGTGTTGTATTGTATGTTTCTCTACTTTCGTATTCTTTACACTATTTATATTGAATATTGTTTCTCGCCCCTTTGCTTCATGTTGTCTACCATGAACATCTTGCAGATACTCAGGTGTACTGATCATTGTTATTGTGTGTGAATGCGGTTTGTTGGAGCTACTCTTCGCTTTTTATTTATCGATTTATCTTACGTTAGTGGTTTTTAGTGCTCTGGTCGTGTAACATCGGAGACGGGAGTTTGTTATGTTTTATGATGATGTTGATTTTTTTGTTATGGAGTTTATTACCTTGTCTATGAAGTTGCTATGAAATATTTTTCCACTACGTAGTTTCATATGATTTGTTATATTTTCAAAGGATTGTTGTTAGTGACACCTTAAATTGTCGTTTAAATCTTTTTAAGTAAGTTTTAAAATTTAGGGTGTTACACCTGCAATGGTCGAGCTTTTTTCCTCTGAAGTGATGCATATTACGCAAGTCTGCCATGCATCAATTTCTCTAGGTTATTATCTATCATGTGTGTAAGTAAACCACACAA